ACACATTCACAACGGCCCCCCCCCAACCAATTATCAGCATCCACCACCAGAGTGGCACATTTGTTAAGACTGATAAACCTACATTGATATATCATCACCCAAAGACCACGGTTTGCATTCCATGGGTTTGGACAAATATATAATGACAACACGTAGAAATATTACAGTGTCATATGCAGGCAGTAAACAGTTTCACTGACCTAAAAATTCTCTGGTTCTGCCCATTCAGCTTTCCGTCCCCCTCCTAATTCCTAGCAATTACTGATATCTTTATTGTCTCCATAGTTTTGCTTTTTCCAGAGTGTCATGTGACTGTAATCATACAATATGCAGCCTTTACAGACCAATTTTGTTGTCTTAGAAATCTGCATTTAAAGTTCCTTTATGTCTTTTCATGGCTTGATACCTCCTTTGTTTTTAGCACTGAATGTTATACCACTGCATGAATGTATCACAGGTTATTCATCCATTCACTCACTGAAGTACATCTTGGTTGCTTCCAAACTTAGGCAATTATTAATAAAGTTACTATAAACATCCACATGTTGGTTTTTGTGTACACATAAGTTTTTAACTCTTTTGGGTAAATACAATACTAAAAACTGCAATTCCTAGATTGTGTGGTAAGAGTATGTTTAGTTTTGTAAGAAACTGCTAAATTGTCTTCCAATGTGGAAGTATTATTTTGCATTCCTATCATCAATGAATGATATTTCTCATTTCTTCACATCCTCACTGGCACTTGGTATTCTAAGTGTTCCATATTTTGGCTATTCTAATAGGTGTGTAGTAGTATCTTAATGTTGCTTTAATTTGCATTTCTCTGATAATATCTAATGTGGAACTTTTAAAATGCTTATTTGCATTCCGTATATCTTCTTGAGTGAGATGTTTGCAAGGTCTTTGGTCCATTTTTTAACTTGGTTGATTATTTTCTTGTTGTTGAGTTTTAAGAGTTCTTTGTGTTTTCTTTGGATAACAGTCTTGTTTCAGATGTGTCTTTTGACAATATTTCCTCCTACCTAGTCTGTGGGTTGTCTTCTTATTCCTTTGATATTGTCTTTGCTGAGTAGAAGTTTTAATTTTAATGAAGTCCAGCTTACCAAATTTTCTACCATATATAGTGCTTTTGCTACTTTATCTATGATATCATTGTCATACCCAGGGTCATCTAGATTTTTTGTATGTAATCTTCCAGGAGTTCTATGGCTTTTGTTTTACATTTAGGTCTGTAATCCATTTTGAGTGAATTTTTGTGATAAGACTTTTGTCTAGATTTATTTATTTATTTATTTATTTTGCATGTGAATATCTAGTTGTTCCAGCACCATTTGTTGAAAAAGCTATCTTAGCTCCATTGTATTGTCTTGGCTTCTTGGTCAAAGATCAGTTGTCTATATGTGGGTTTGTTTGTGGGCTCTGTATTCTGTTGCACTGATCTATGTGTCTATTCTTTTGTCAATATCACACTGTCTGATTACTGATGCTCTATAGTAAGTCTTAAAGTCAGGTGGTGGCAGTCCTTCAACTTTGTACTTCTCCCTCAATACTGTGTTGACTGTCTTGGGTCTTTTGCTGCTCCTCATAAACTTTAGAATCAGTTTTTCAATAGTTATAAAATAACTTCCTGGAATTTTTATTGAAATCTATAGAACTAGTTGGGAAATCTGACATTTCAAAAGTATTGAGTCTTGTTATCCATGAGCATAGATTACTTCTCCATTTACTTAGCTCTTTGACTTCTTTCATCAGAATTTTTAAAAGTTTTCTCATATAAACATTGTACATATTTTATCAAATTTATATGTTAATATTTGATTTTGAGAAGTTACTGATGTAAATGGTATTGTGCTCTTAATTTCAAATTCCACTTATTTAATGCTTATATATAAGAAAGCAATGTGCTTTTATGTGTTAACCTCATATCCTGAAACCTTGCTATAATTGCTTTGCAGGAGTGTATTTTTGTCCATATTAAAAATTTTCATGCTCATGTCATCTGTGAACAAAGACAGTTTTCTTTCTTCCTTTCAAATCTGTAGACATCTCATTTCTTTTTCTTGTTTTATTTTATAGCTAGATCTTCTAGTATGATGTTGAAAAGGGGTGGTGAGAGGGAACATCTCTGCCTTGTTCCTGATTTTAGTGGGAGAAGTTCTAGTTTCTCACCACTAACTGCACTGTTAGCTGTAGATTTGTGGTCAATATTCTTTATGAAGTTGAGGAAATCCTTTTCTTTTTCTTTTTATTTTTTGAGAGGAAGTCTCACTCTCCTAGTTTGCTGTGAATTTTAACCCCAAATTGTGTCAGATTTTGAAAAAAATTCTTTTTCTACATCTATGGATATGATCATGTAGTTTTTCCTTGTTAGACTGTTGATGTGATGGATTGTATTAATTAATTTCAAATGTTAAACTAGCCTTGCAATCCTGGTATAAGTCCCACTTGGTCTTGGTGTATAATTATTTCTATATATTGTTGGATTCAATATGCCAATATTTTATTGAGGATTTTTGCATCTATGTTTATAAGAGATGTTGGTCAGTAGTTTTCCTAGTAATGTCTTTAGTTTTAGTATTAGAGGGATGCTGGACTCATTGAATGAGTAAGAAACGATTCCTTCTGCTTCTGTCTTCTGAAAGAGAGTATAAAGAATTGATACAATTTCTTCCTTAAATGTTTGGTAGAATTCACCAGTGAATCCCCCTGGACCTAGTGCCATTTGTGAAGGGTATTAATTACTGGTTTAATCTAATAGATATAGCCATATTAAGATTGTGTACCCTTATGTGAATTTTGGCAGATGGTGTCTTTCAAGAAATTGATCCATTTCATCTAGGTTATCAAATTTATGGGTATAGAGTTGCTCATACAATTCTTGCAGTATCCTTTTACCACCCATGAGATTTGTAGTGATGTTCAGTCTTTCATTTCTGATACTAGTAATTTGCGTCCTTTGTCTAATCAGCTTTTGATTTTATTGAGTTTTCTCTCTATTGGCTTTTTAATTTCAATTTTATTAATTCCCTCTCTAATTCTTATTTCTTTTCTTCTGTTTACTTTGGATTTAGTTTGCTTCTTTGTCTAGTTTCCTAAGGTGAAAGTTTAGATTATTGATTTCAGATTTTTTTTCCTTTCTAATATATGTTGTCAGTATTATAAATTCTCCTCTAAGATCTACTTTTGATGTATTCCACAAATTTTGATAAGTAATAGTTTCATTTTTATTTAATTTAAAATATTTTAAGAATTCTTGAGTTTTCTTCTTTCACCCATGTGTTACATAGAAATATGTTGTTTAGGCCGGGCGTGGTGGCTCACACCTGTAATCCCAGCACTTTGGGAGGCCGAGGCGGGTGGATAACGAGGTCAAGAGATCAAGACCATCCTGGCCAACATAGTGAAACCCCGTCTCTACTAAAATATAAAGAATTAGCTGGGCCTGGTGGCACGCGTCTGTAGTCCCAGCTGCTTGGGAGGCTGAGGCAGGAGAATTGCTTGAACCCGAGAGGCAGAGATTGCAGTGAGCGGAGATTGTGCCACTGCACTCCAGCCTGGTGCCTGGCGACAGAACGAGACTCTGTCTCAAAAAAAAAAAAAAAAAAAAAAAAATGTAGTTTAAAATTGAATTGTCATGGGGTTTTTAGCTTTCTTTTACTGATTTCTAATTCAGTCCTATTTTAGTTAACTAGTAGTTATTTTAACAAATATGTGCCTAAAATTAAGCTTGAATTAGTGCTATTACAGAAGCTGTATTACATTTCACTCAGTGAATCATGTGTTTGTATTTATATCAAGCACCTGTTATTCTAAATTAATTGTGCATATTTTTCATTTGCAATTTTTTGTGCATACATGAAAAGTCAACTGATGCTTAGTCAAATGTTAGCTCCATTAGCAGAAGAACTTGGCAAATAGTTAAATGGTTCCACTTTCAATCAGTGACACCAGATGCTTCAAATATAAAATCAGTTAAAGCAAAACCAAAAATTATTTGATTTATTAACTCAATTTATGAGCCTAAAGGTTTGAACTTTTTTCTGTCAAAAATTAAATATCTGGCATAACTTGTAAATGCTATTATAAATTAAATTAAAATTCAACATGGAAAACAGAAATTATTTGTCTTTGTGCTTATACTATGAATGTAAGTTTCACTGAAGCATAATGTGGAAAGAAAATGAACAATATTATAAACTAAATTAAGAAATCTACAGAGCACAAATGTATGTGTGATTAGCTGTAGCACAAACAGAGGCCATTATTACAACCAATCACACAGGATGCATGATACTACCAATTGAAACTGAATTTGCAGTTGACAAAATTTTATGTATTTTTATACCTAATTTTCTATATATTATAAAAATTTCTATAAATTTATATGTGAACTACAACATTGTTTCTGATGAAGTGATGTTGAATTAAAGTAACCATTAAATAAATAAATAAAATTCAGTCTTACAGTCTGAGCTTTCTTTGCTGTTCATTAGGAATCCAATTTTAGAAAATGTGTGAGCCCTTATGAAGGATTAGCTTAAAACCACAATAAGTGACCTCTGTGGTATTGAATGTATTTTGGAAACAAGTCCCTTATATTTTGGTTGTATTTCGTTCAAAACTGGTTGAAATTTTTCAATAAATAATTGAACACATGGAGCACCAAACAACTTTATCTTCCAAAGCTTTTAGTAAATTGTGATCATCGAGGATAAAATTTACTAGGAGGGAGAGAGGGCTCTTTATTCCTGTAAAAGCGCAGAAGCAGAGAACACATCCAGTGAGGGAAGATCAGAGAGTCTACATGAAATGATTTTGACATTTGCTGTACATTGGATAATCTTGACTTAGAGGAATAATATTTTGATGATGATGCTATTTTTAATTAGAAAATTTCTATTCTGAACCAGCATATAATAAAAGTGAAAAGATCACAATTTTGGATCATCTAAAATTGGACACAATATTCCAAGAAATAATAGAGATAACTTTCCATGAGCTTAGTCTTATTAAATATTTATTGAAGAAATATTTATTGAAAAATATTTATTGAAGCAACCCAGAGCTGTGCATGATGATGTGTGCCTCTAGTCCCAGCTACTGGAAGGCTGAGAAGGAAGGCTGAGGTGGGAGGACCGCATGAGTACGGGGCAGTGAGCCTTGATCATACCACTGCTCTCCAACCTGGGCCACAGAGCAAGACTCTGTCAAAAACAAAGAAACAAAAAACGATACTCAAAGCACAGTATCCTTTTAAATACAAAATAATTTTAGTTAAGACTATCCTTCATTTAGCAGGATTTGATCTGAATTTATCAGATACTTTGGAACAGGTAGAAAGGCTGTTTTCTCCTTTAAAAATACTATGCTTTTCAAAGAAGAGTCAACTACATGTGTCAACAATTTCAAATGTATCAACCATAAATATATACAGAAGATAGTGCAGGTAATTTTGTGAAAAACATTTTAACAAAGTAAGATTATATTGAAATTACTGACTCCAGAAAAATAGTAGGGGCATGAAAGTCATTAAAGCAGAACTATATTCCAAGCTTTGCACATATATTTATTTAATATACACAATCACTATAAAATTGTACCCTACTATATACACATGCATGCACGTATATGGAAATAAGTGTATTTAAAAAAATAGATTCAGATCAGAATTGTTGTATAGGCCAATATAATAATGTAATAAGACTACATTATCTGTCGATCAATAAATATATCCAAAGTATTCATTTGAATGATTGCACAGATCCCACAGCTTGGGCGGTGAGTAGGACCCCGGTCTGCAGCTGGCTACCCCCTTGTGCTTGCTCAGGCCCGCAGTGCAGACGGCTGGGTATTCACTACTGTGTTGGCTTCTCTCTGCCTTGGCTGCGGAGTATCAAAGCCCTCCCTATTTATGGGAAAATCTCCACCTCATGAATCGCGGACGAGTCATAGCCCACCTCCCACCACAGCAGGTGAAAACGTCAGATGCTGGCTTTCCAGCCTTCTGTGCATTTAGGGCCAAAGCATGTGTCAGGCTTGGCCTCGGAGCCGCCCACCACGGAGCTTGTAGCGGGAGCCAGTGAGTCAGAGGTGGAAGGCAGAAATGCCGTTATTTGGGGTCACATGGGGACTGCTGCAGTGGTCCTGGCATCCGGCGTGCAAGGACGGCACAAGTATTGCTTCAGCAATTGTGCTTAGAAGCCACCCCCCTCACCCCCCTAGCAACCCCCTAGCGAAAGCCTAAGTGGAAGCGGTGGAAGCCCAGCGGGAGAAGCAGAAGCAGCAGCTGCTGAAGCTGGTGCGGTTTGGCTGGGCGTGGCAAGGTCTTCGCAGCCCTGGCCGTGTTGACAAACTTGGCTGTGACCGTGGCTCCTGCCCAGCCCTCCTTTCTGCTGCTCATTTTCTAAGACTAGTTCTCCTGGCTGTTGTGGGATTCTGGCATCAATCATCAATCCAACATTGCATTTTGTCGTTGTGAATAATTTCCTTTTCTGCTCTTATGGGTGGAGTTTCTGCGCTCATACAAGAGAGCCACGGCTGCTATACAGGAGAGCCTTGGAGGTAACTGCAAGGACATGCACCGTTGTCAAGCCAAGAGGTCTGAGGCTCTGCTTGGGCTTGGACCACGGCAGGTGTCCCGGCTCTACACAGGACTCACATGAAGAATTTTTCAAACTGGAAACAGTAACTCAGCAGGAAGTAGGGTGCTTCAACCTTGAAAACGGCATGGAAACGAGGGAGCAACACAAGTGTCACCCTGATATCAATTGCAGTGTCCTGGTCTGTTTAGATTCACATGAAATCAGATAGTGCCTGTAACATGTGAAATGCAGATCTAGTATCCTGGTCCTTCTGGGATTTGATTTTCTTGATTACTTTTGGTTCCTGCGCTCGCTTTTACCTATCTAGTATGTTTGAACATTTATAATCGTTTAACAAAACGTATGGTCCACTAGGCTTTAGCAATAACAACTGACTAAATATTCAGCCCTATAAATTACGTATCATTACTATCCCCATTTTACACATGTGGAACTTAAAGTTTAAGAAACAATTTTCTGAGTCACAAAATTAGTGACAGAGTGTCAGAGTGAGTGGTCTGACCCCAAAGGCCAAGCTCTACAGAACTGGCTGACACCATCTTTGCTGGGCCTGCTGTCCTTTTCTATTCCTTGTCTTTTCCCCTGAAGTATGGACAACAGGAGGTTATGTCTGCAACAGACTTTAAGTTTTGAGGAAAAGGCTTGTGTCTGTGTGGGAGGGTAGGGAGAATGTGTTATTAAGCATTGCTATACTACATCAAAGAATGAGCAAGCAGACAAGAGAGGCAACAACACACCCTTTCAATTAGATTTTACACCCACATCCCTGAAATGTTCCTTGGTCAATTCTGCTGGCCAAACCCTTTTGTAGGATATTTGCTTCTCCTTTCTTGCTGAACTTTTCCAAATTTTCTCCCTTCAAGAAACCACAATTCATTACTTTGACTATATTCATAGATTTGTTCTTATTTCTTTATTATATAAGCCATGTCCTGAGGCCTCTCTCCCCCTCTGCCTGGCTCCCCTTCTCCACATCCTCCCTTCTTCTCATTTTGCCCCTTCATTTGTCTCCTGCCACCTGCCAGCCATCTCCACTCACCTTTGCCTGCACTCACCATCACAGCCCTTGGGGGACGTTCGGTTGTACCCAGAGCTCTTATGCAACATAGAAAATTCTTCTTTAACGTGACTTTGCTGATATCAATTAGAATTTCTCAAAAATAACATTATTAAGAAATCAAGAGATAAAAATACACAGAATGGAAATGTAGCCACGGTTTGGTCTGGGGAGCTTTTTGGGAGGCTCACAGCCCTGGCTATTTCTCTCTGTGTTGCTGGACAATGCACTCCAGTGTTGTTTGGACCAGCTGTGGAGCAGCTTTGTGGCTGGCTTCTCTGCCCAGCCAGAATTGGCCTCCTGTTACCTCTCTGAGTACTTCTGCCTAGGTCCGTTCCTATTTGATATGCTGCTGGCTTTGGTTCAGGTGTACAGCCGCTTTAGGACTGAGAATCAGGTGTGGCCTCCACCACCTTGGAGAGAGAAGCACATTCATGAGGTGTCCCAAGACTCCACCCCCAGCCACCTTCACCCTCATACAAGTCCTCCATTTATTCTCCTGACCCCCATTTCTACCTACTCAGTTGGACCGGTCTGTGAGATTCTCCTGACCCAGGAGTGGGAAGCAGGGTGCTGTTGTATTTTTCAGTTCCTTTCCCTACTGGAATCTCAGCTTCCTACTCAGATTTTACCCTACAGCAGTGAAGCATGTGCTTATGCTGAAGCAGCCACATATGACCAAACAAGGAAGACTAACCAGTGACATTACATAACTAGATTGACTAGATAGCTTAGTTCAATGAGGAAAATTAGAAAGAAAGGCCAAGGTGCTTATCCTGTCAAGCAAGGTGTAGCATTGGCTTTCTACGTGGTGGTAGGAAATGTCTGCGGGTCCCACTAACTGGAGATACCACTGCAATTAGTAAGTATGGTCACATTTATTAAATTCTATGCTCCCCCTTCAATATGCTAATGGACCCTGGTGAGAAATGCTGGAAAAGACATATTAACAAGATTTGAGGGGAGAGGAGAGAAAAAAAAGTAAGAAAGAAGAGATATAGGGGAGAGAAGAGAAAAGGGAATGTATGGGATGAAACATCATTGCATATTGATGGATGCTCTGACATGCATTGCTAGTCAGTCATGGTGCCGAAAATAGGACCGTGAATCATTTCTGTTGTAGACTTTAAATAGGGATGTGAGGGGGGCAAAGGGAAGGGAAGACAGTAGAGAGACAGGCAAGAGAAACACGTACAGACTGTGCACATCACCATTTCCCTCGTCACATTGCATTGAGCATTTTCTCATTGACTTGACTTGCTCCTTTCTCCACCTTCCCTGTGTCCAGGCCTTTCAAAGGCAGGTATTGAAGCTGTTATAATCGGTATCTGGAAATTTAATTTTTAATTTAAATATGGTGAGGCCAACAGATCAGGAGATGACTGCCTTTGAAAAGACAGTTTGTGAGTCACAGTTCCCCAGCAAGGGGCCCACCACACCTCAAAAGCCACAGGAAGCACCAGGGCCAGTCAGGAGCCAGAGGCAGGGCTGGTGGCAGGGGGTGGTTGGATGGTGTGGATAGTCCTTCTGTGGTTTCTCAGTGAAGGAATGGGTGAGGCAGAGTAAGCGAGTGAGGCAGAGTAAGCAGCTGAGCAGACTTAGAATTGGATAGTTTGAATAATTTCAGCAAGCTCTGGGACATATGGGGGTCTCCAGTTGTCTACTTCTCGCCCTGGGGTGATTTAAGGCAGGGGAATAGTGCCCCAGACTACAGACATCTGATAAAAGGAGTCAGGTGGAGAGTATGAACTTGGGATTGGTTAGAATGCATATCAAAGGCATGCTCATGGGGAGCATGAGAAAGTTGTCTGTTATCTCTGGGAATTAGCTAATCGTGGAGGGGCAGTTCCTCTCTAGGATGAGAAGGCCCCAAGATATCAAAGCATCATAAAATGTAACATGTGTGATTAATAGAGAGATTAGAGCAGAAACAGAAAGATGCTCAGGCACACGCTCAATGTGGAAAATCCTTGCTTCTCATCTTGGCCCTTTGAAGTAAGCAGGGGCACATTCCTAGTCGCCTGCTGTCTGGCTCCAGTGTGGCTAGCCAAGTTCATGGGTATCAGGTTGCTAGATCCAGCTGCCTTATTGATACCATTGGTGACACTTAAATCTCAGAACATTGTTTTTTCTGTTTTCCTCACTTCATTTATGCAATATATATTTCTTGAGCAGCCAAGGATTGAGTAGGCACTGGGGCTAAGCCATAGATTGATTGAACTGATGGTCTCAGTTCACACCTTCCCTAGCTCTACTACCTATATAAAGTGACTTTCCAGTTCCTTTCATTAAGAGCTGGAATCTGTTACCCTGGTTTGGCTTTGTACTTTGCAGTGGCCAAAAGAATTCAGCACAAATCATGTGCTGGTGCTGAGCCTAGGCCTCAGGAGGTCTTTATGTGCTTCAGTGCTTTTTCCTGGAGCTTCACCCCCACCATAAGGACAAGTCTAAGCTAGCCTGGTGGAGGATGAGACACCAGATGGAGCAGAGATAAATTTTCCTTGCTGAGGGCATCCTTACCAGCTAGCCCTTGTCCATCTGCTGATTGAAGGTACATGAACAAGCCCAGCCAGCATCGTCAGCAGGGCTGCCCAACCAGTTCTATACTCATGAGCAAAAACGAATGTTTAATTCTGTATGCCATATAAGGATTTAGGGTTGTTTGATATGCAGCATTATTTTGGTGCAGTAGAAAATGGATATAAAATATGTAGGTGAAAGGGAGAAGACTGATCCTTGTATGTTTCCTAAACAATACTGGAGACAGGTATTTTCAGACCAGAGTAGAAAGTGAGGGCTTGATGGCGTCATATAGAAGAGGTTTCTCACCCAGAATGGATGGTCAGAAGAACTTTTGGAAGAAGTTGAGCTCTGGGAATGAAGGAGATATGGAAAATAGCTACAGAAAGAAGGTGGCTTAAATGACAGTGCAGCAAGGGGGATGGTCAGGGTTCTCTAGAACCCTATTAGGGACAGAACTAATAGGACAGATATTTATGTAAAGGGGAGTTTATTAAGGAACATTGACTCACACAATCACAAGGTGAGGTTCCACAATAGGCCTGCTGCAAGCTGAGAAGCAAGGAAGCCAGTCTGAGTCCCAAAGCCAAAGAACTTGGAGTCCAGTGTTTGAGGGCAGGAAGCATCCAGCACAGGAGACAGAAGGAGACCAGAAAACTAAACTAGTCTAGTGTTTCCTCATTCTTCTGCCTGCTTTTATCCTAGCCATACTGGCTGCTGATTAGATGGTGCCCACCCAGATTGAGAGTGGGTCTGCCTCTCCCAGTCCACTGAATCAAATATTAATCTCCTTTGGCAACACCCTCGCAGACACAACCAGGAACAATACTTTTCATCCTTCAATCCAATCAAGTTGACCCTCAGTATTAACCATCTCAGATGGAGATACAGGTTCAGGGGTGAGAGGGAAGATGCTGGGGACTTCCAGGACTTCAGGGTGACTGGAGTTGTGTGTGTGTGTGTGCACGCACTCGCATGCATGTGTGCCAGGGGTTGGTCAACATTAAAGCAAGGACTTGTCAGGTCATCTTAGACTTACGTCATGCTTTATTCAGAAGTCAGTGGAAAACTACTTAAGACTTTTCAGCAAGGGAGTGACACAATTCAGTTTACATTTTGAACCACATTTTCTGCGAAGGTAGAGGCTTGATTGGAAGTAGTGCACTGGGACCTGAGAAGCCATTAAAGAGGTCTTTAACTGAGATAATCAATGCCAGAAGCCTGATATAAGGCATTGTCTTGGGGACAGATAAACATGGGGGGTAAAATTGACTTGCAAAACATGTAAAACTTTCAAAACTTGTCAAATAGCTTATAAACATTTTAAAAAGAAAAATGATAAATTTCATTATGATCAATGCACATATTACCAGCTCCTCTGATTCTTCTTCTGTCTATCAAACTTGATCTCAGGACAGGCATGTTTTAAATAATGGCTGAGCTAACACTTACCTGCTGGACTGAAATCCTTCATTTGGCTTTTCATGGCTATTATCTGCATCACTAAATGGTGGCTGTCACATTCCTTTGGCAGTTCTCTGGCTTTATGCTCCAAAGACTTGCTGAGACAAATGTCTATCTCAGGTCTTCAGACACTATAGGAACCTGAAGGCATGGTTAGAGGGTACCCCTGTTGCCAGCAATGGCAGAGAGCTGTTCAAGGTGAACGTTTTCATGATACAGCATTTGACGGCTCTGGAAGGTGGCCACAGAAGCCCAAATGGAAGCTGCCTTTAATCTGTGAGATGGGAATTTAAATTGCACTTGCTATGTACAAATTGTTCATCCTGCCATGTCATGAGGGGGCTCAACTATAGAGAGCATGGCATGAGTTGACACTTGAAGCCAAATATATTTGAGAGAGACAGATCTCCTGCAGAGGAAGGAAGGGTCCCTGTCCCATCACAAAACTAAGCTGAGGTGACAAAGTGGTGGTGTAGACCAGCACTAGGTATTTAGGGAACTTCATCCCATTAGAACCAGAGATATGGGAAGATCTCATTAAATCAAAGGGGGTCAGGCATGTTCTTTTTCAGGATACCTTTGTGCTAGACAGAGACATAGGCCTTATGTCCACAAACATACATGAATAACAGTAGTGGCTAACACTCACTGCAGCCCATATGAAGTAAACACTGTTAATATTACAATTTTATACAAAAGACAAAATTGCAGTATGCAAAGGCTAATTTGCACAAAGCCAGGTGGTTCACAAGTCATGGACCTGGGCTTGGAACAAAGGTCCAGTGGAACCCAAAACTGATGCTCTTTTTATTTACCCAAGGTCTGGCTTTGAGACCAGGCTGCAACCAGGTTCTAGTTCCTAGAGATTGTGGGGACAGGTGGACAAGCAACAGTGAGGGAGCGGGACTCACTCAGGGGAGGCAAGACCTCAGCCCAGGAGAAACATGGGTAATGGAACCCATACACAGAGAGGAGCTGAGATCCAGTAAAGGGAACTGAGGTGCAAAGTTTCAGGGCCCAGTCATCAGAACCAGGATCGCAGAATGCATTGTAGACTGCTTCAGTCCCTCTCACTCTTGTCAGAATTGGAGCTCTACTTGAAAAGTTTATCCCACAGGTGTAGCACTGACATAGAAATAATTGCAGAGTATGCTTACTTGAATACCTGTTCTCTTCTTCTTTTGTATTACAATTCCAGAGTTTAGTTTAGCACTTGGGGGCCCAAATAAGCCATACATTTTTAAGCCTCTCCTGTAGATGGATGTGACCACATACTTTATGTTCTAGCCACCAACAGATAGCTAGAAATGAAATGAACATTCTCTAGGAAGTGTTCGTTAAGAAGAAGGAGCATGTTCTTTTTGTTGCTTTCTCCTCACTGCAGACTAGCATTTGGACATGATGGCTGGAGCACAAGCAGCCATTCTGTACTGTAAAGTCCCATCTCAAGAAGGCAGGGATGCATAGTAGACATGAACAGCTTTGGACTACCTCTCTTTACATCACTTTTACATGTAAGAGTAATGAACTATATCTGCACGTATGTACATTATATTGCTGCAAACCTAATCCTAACTTAATCACTGAGCTTATAATTCCTGCTTTACTTTCACACTAGAGAAATATTTCTTCTCAATGTTCCATTGAAATCAGTGTAGCACTAATGAGGTATTGGTGGAATGGCACTGGAAGCTGTAACACTGATGCATTCTTTATCATCTTGTCTTATCAGTGCAAAGAGCTGACTTTAGAAGTTGAAGGAATTTACTTTTTAAAAAAATTCTAGTTTCCACATTCAATTCTCTTGATTGCAATGTAATGTATAACACCAAGGGTCTTTGAAAAAAACTGTACTAATGCATTTTGAACACAGTAACCAAGATACACACATTCCTGAATGACATCAAAGAGGCGCACTTACCCCTAGATGCAATATTCAAAAGTTTCTAAGAAGATTTGAATAAAATATTATGACACCTAATAACATAGAAATTTTTCTCATCTGGACAAAGACTAAAACTTCATTTTACTGCTTGTCAGCAGATATAAATCTGAAGCTGAATTTAAAAGCTTCTCCATATGCTCGGGCACACCACCATCCTGAGCTAAGTTTAAATCACAGCCTTGTCCTATCATATGTTTCTATCTTCAAGTGGGGAGTGGATGTGGGGGAAGAGGGTGGGTTGAGATTTCCCGTTTAAGGTGATAAATGCTGTCACGGGACCATCTGCCATGGTCTTCGTATCTCATGACTCAGAGATACAGCTTTTGGAACAGAAAAGGATCTGGTTAAAATTCCAGCTTTACTACAGGGTATTTGCATGATGCCCAGGGGTTGATCAAGCCCTCCAGTCTCTGCTTCCTCATCTATATAACTGGATAAAAACCACCAAATATTTTGTGTAACATGAGACAATGAAGGGAGGAAACTAGATGCCTGGCCTCACCCCCTACTCCCTTTCTGTCTCACAAAGGTGCTGTAAACCCAGGCCCATTCTTAGGGGAAAACAATTATTTTTACGCCTCTCAATTGTTAACCCAATGAGATACCATTTAAAGGACAGAATGTGAGTTTGAGGCACTAATGCTCTGCAGGCTGGGCTCTGGCTCACAGAGTCTTGTCCTTTCCAGGTGATTCTCCACCAGTGCATAAAGGCAGTGTTTTTGGGAGAAGCCTCCTCCCGAGGCTGGCCCGGCTTGGAGTTCCTACAGGTCTGTGTCTTGCTGTTATTTTGGAGGTGTTCATCTTGGTGCTCACTGTGTTAGCAAGTGAGAGCATTTGGCACATTTGAACCCACTCGCTTTGTCCTGAAATAGCCTGCAGAGTCTTCGTGCTGCACCTTCTCTGGAGCAGCTCCACTTCTGTATTTTTTTTTTCACTTCTGTATTTTAAATTGAATTCTCCAGTTCTGCTGTGCAAAATCTCCAACTCAATGAACAGCAGCCTCAGTGGATGGTTTCCGTGCATACATCCAGAAAAATGGGAAAGTTTAATTGCATACATTGTACGAGAAAGTGATCTTCTCATGGCTACTGAGCGAGTATTTGTTAGCATGTCATTGATGCTAAATCCTAATGGTTGATACTGACATTAAACTCAGCAACACCTGAGAAAGCTGGAGTTGTATGCAATATGCCATCCAATGCTTCCCATATGCCCACCTTCCTGTTGTGGGATGCAAAGGAAAACACATGAATGCACAGGCAAATATTCTTAAACACACTTTGGGGCCAGGGGATGGTGAAGCCAACTGATTGGCAAAATCTCCCCTTTTCTTCTTTTTAGAGAAATTGCCAGTTGCATATAAATGAGGCTTGTTGAATTGGAAAGTCTTCTCTGAATAATTAGGGTAAATTGAACATGAGCCTGTTCTCAATGTGTTTCTTGTATTTCTAGAAATTTTAATTTATCAAAAAAAAAAAAAAAAAGAAAAACAGCAGAAAAGGTAAATAGAGAAAATAAATAGTAGATCTACAGATAATGGTTAAGTAACTGCAGATTTTCAAGGTGTTAAAGCTAGTTTAGGTTTTCACATACACATCTGAGGTTTTGGTTGTAGAGAGACAAGTATAAATTTTATCATACTACCAAATTATAAAAATCCTATACAAACTGCAAAGTACTTAACTTTCCTTCCTATTCTTTCTCCACTTTTGTAAACACTTCCCCTCTTTTAGCTGAAATGTTCTTAAACATAATTTGTCCCAGAGCTCAAATATGATCAAATTGATGGCTCTTGTGGCATTTCTGTCCTAAATTTACCAATGAGGATATTAAGATTATTAAAGACATTTATTTAATGATCTAGAAGATTTCAAAATCAAACTCCAGACATGAATAAAGACTTTGCTATTAAAAGCATGCCATAAATAAATGAACACATATATAATAAAGGTCTCCACAAGAAATTATTTTCCCAATTATTTGTTTTTAAATTTTCTAGTGTATCTAATATTTCACACACATATTTTATATAAATATGAATATGTAGCATCTTCATGAAAGGAGAGGAGTAATTTATGAGAATGAACACATTCTAGTTCAATCAATGTTGTTCTCAACCTTCCTTTGTAGAAAGAGGGCTGATTAAAACAATGTTTGTGTGATTCATTTACATTCTGTATTAGATGAAGTCTTAGCGTATCACAAATATAGTTCCACATAAATGAATGAACATACTTAATCAACTTAAAAGTATTCACTGTATGTACTTTGGAGGATTGGGTTCTCAGCTTCAAATCTATTGATATTTGGGGCCAGGTCACGCTGTGTCGGGGGCTGCACGGTGCATTGTGGAATGTTGAGCCGTACTCCCAGCCTGTGCTCTCCAGATACAGAAGGAGCTCCCCCATGCTCCTCCCCAGGTGTGACAACTAAAAATAAAATTTCCAGATATAGCCATATTTCTGCTGGAGTAAAAAATTGCATCTGATAATAGCCACTGGCAGTAATTCCCCTCTCAAACTAAAAAGTGGGTTACATTCTTCAGTATTTTGTAAATTATTAATGGCTTATCAACGTTGTTTGCTCAGTTGCATCTAGTACACCAGCATGCAGTCTTTCCCAGGGCTGCGCAGCTAGTGTGCACTCCCATGCCTTTTACAGATGCCAGGCTTGTTCACTTCACCACCCTGTGATTCAGGGTGCAAAAAGTGGCAGGCATCTCACTTGTTCTTTGCATAACTAAAGGGAGCTAATAATTATTCCTTCCCTTAATTGCTCATTCACTTAACAAGGACACAGGAGGCGCCTCTCATAGGCTGAGCATTGTTGTAGGCTCTGGAGACAGGTCCACGGGCAAAGCAGGTCTGATGTCCTTGTTCTCATGGTGAGGCTGGCAGCTTCATGGGCGACAAAGATGAGGAAGGAAACAACAAAAAACGGAAGTATATAATATTATATCATATTATATAATGAAGTAAATTATGCAACAAATTGAAAGGTGATAAGCCATATTGAAAAAGAAAATGCAACCAAGGTAAGAGGATTTAGAAATTCAGTAAGGGAGAATGTCGGAATGTAAATGGAGTGATCCAGTTGGATTTAATTGAGCCAGGGGACACTTGAATGCAGACTTCATCGAGGTGAAGAAGTGAGCCTGCTGGCATTTGGAGTGGGACTTCGTGGCAGAGGAAGCAGGCCTGTGCAAGGGCCCTGAGGTTGAAACACAGTTGGCCCATATGGCTGTAGCAGCTCATGCCACAGGATCATTGAGTTGCCAGGCTATGAGGAGCCTTGTGGTCACCATAAAGAATTGAGCTTTTCCCTGAAAGGAATGGAGAGCCACTGAATGGTTTGAGCACAGAGGTGATGCAAAGTCACTTATGTTTCACCAGAGTCAGTCCTGTTATTGAGCAACAGGGTCACTCCTGCTATTAAGTCTTCCATAAACTGCTGGAAGACAAAAATAGCAGCTGACACTCCAGTTAGGATGCTAGAACAGTGATCCAGACCAGTGGAGACAGTGACCTGGACTCCATAATTAGGAGGGATATAAAAGGGAGGAGGAGTGAGAACCACATAGCCAAACTCAACAGTGAGGCTTCAAAGCCTGCTTCCTTCTCAGGGAGCAGGGAGAGATATCAGAGTGCAGGTCAGTAAGTAGTCGCCTGTGTCTTTGTGAAGAACTGGAAGATGGTGTCATCCCAACTGAATGTTCTCTGCATGATGGAATTGAGAAGTTCTGACTGCCTTCTAGGAAGGTAGGACGGTAAGGAATGGGCTCTGAAATAAACAGGTTTTCAGCCATGTACCTGCTCCATCATCTCCAATTCCACTCCTCATTCATTTATTTAGCAAACATGTGTTGACCTTCCTGGCTGTGAACCTCAGGATCCTGGCAGGCCCATCAGGAGAGTGGATTGTCGATGGGAATATAGACACTTTTTTACCTTTAGAGTTCTGGGTCTTAGAACCTGCCCTGTTTTATGCTGCTCAGGCTGCTATTGCAAATACCATAGCCTGGGTGGCTTGCACAACAGAGTTCTTTTCTCACAGTCTGAAGCCTGGGCAGCCTGAGATCAGGGTGCCAGCACGGTCAGGTTCTGGTGACGGCCTTCATCCAGGTTGGCAGATGACTGTCCTCCTGGAGTGTCTTTACTTGGGAGAGAAGAGACAAAAGAAGCAAGCTTTCTCCTGTCTCTTCTTATAAAGGTACTAATTTCATGGAGGAGGGCACTATCCTCATGATCTCACCACCTCCCAAAAGCCCTACCTCTTAATACTGTAACATTGGGGATTCAAATTTCAACTTATGAATTTGGGGGGCTGGAAACATTCAGTCTATAGGACTCCCCATTCCAATTCTCTTATACTTCCTAAAAGTGCTGGCCTGTTCTCCGAGAGCTCTCACATCTCAATGTTGATTTCAATTCCTCAGGTGTAGGGCACCTCAGTGACCCATGCAGTGGGGATGCAGCAAGCAGTAGATGGTAGATGTGAAACTTCCACTCCTAGAGTCACAGCATTCTGTAGTCTTTCTATTAGAAATCCAGCTTCCTACAATTGCACCGTTACCAGAAACGTGGCAAACAAGGTCTGCATAGCAGTCTCCTGTCTTTTGCAATCACATTTTTATCATTACATTAAACTGTTCCAGCTAGAGAATGAGCAGAATTGTAATTTTTATAATAAATGGTGATATTTTATGTTTGCATTACTTGATTTTCATTTTTCATATTTACTTTGTTAGTTAAAGAAAGCTCCAGCCAACACACCCTAATAAAAATGGTGCATGCCTACATCAAAACAACTCATGCACACCATAAATATATACACCTACTAAGAATCCACAAAAATTAAGAAGAAAAAGAAAATTAACTAATATTTCAGAGAAGCCTTAACATAGGTGTTCATTTTTCTGTTCATGCACATGTGATCAATGCTCCAATTTGAGGTCTCTTAATACTGCTCCCCAGAATGTAAATGGAAATTGAGGAACTTGAACCAGAGGTCATCATGTTTTTTAACCTAATTGACAGAAGTTTTATCTCCTAGAGTGAAAAAAAATGATACTCTTGCTTTGTTGTAACTTAGAGACAATACAAGACAAGATTTGACAGGATCCTGTAGAACTGAAAGGTGTTTTTTGTTTTTGTTTTTAATGGATGTATTAATGTGATTTTCCTAGCCCCGAGTCTCACATACACCCACATCCACACTCCCATACCACACTAGGTAAATAGACATTTTTTGTACCTTTTGAGCATCAGACCTTTCAACTACATATAATTACAGAGTAAAAGGAACTCAGCTTGCTGTATCAAGATTTTGTCTAATAAGAAAGCGAAAATACACAGAGAAAAAGAATATAGTGTATATTCCCTGTGCGCCTGTTTGTGGTCAACCAAGTAAATGAGATCAGAGTTTTGGAATCTGAAATGCCTGGGTATGAGTCCTGGGATATCTTGGTTTCTTCATCTGTAAAAATAAGGCAGCAGTACCTGGCAGGCTCTACTTCTCTATCCTTTGTTTGAAGGCTGACCTCTAGCGAGATCAGCTGAATGTCTGACTATCTGGATTCAACCATGGGAAACAGTGTCCTAGGGCTAGAGGGGAATGAGATAATTATTCCTCCTCATCCTCTGCCTACTGGCCCACCATTGCTGTCCTCCATGGAGGCACAGAGTGCTCTGTAAGGCCATTCATTTTGCGCAAGTTCTGGGGACACCATCCCTTCTACTTGGCCTCTTAAGACCTAATCCCTGAGTGTTTCATCTGCTCCTTTTGTGTTCTCTTCATCATGAAAACACCTTTGTAAATTGTTCCTTCATTAATGTCTCTTTAGCCACCCTTGTGTATGCACCATCTGTTCCTGCCAGCACCTTGAGGCAGGCCTGTAGGATTAGGGTTAGGATTGGGCAAATGAAGGCATGTAAATTGTTGCGCATCACACCTGGTTTACGGAAGTTCTCCAGACTTAGTAGTAGGTACTTAGTGAGGGTTGGTTCCTTCCCCATAATACATGGTCACAGGAAAAGGTCAGGAACAGATGGTGCATACACAAGGGTGGCTAAAGAGACATTAATGAAGGAACAACCTTAAAATATTAATATTTTATGTCGTCTCTGTGTAGTCTTCTGATATTGTGTAAGATTATCAGGGTTAGGGGTAGAAATGTTTCTGCATGATGCTACACACACTGTTTCAAAAAGCAACTAAGGAGAAATCTACGTTAAAGCAACACCGACCAAAGCCCGTGTCCTCTTTTCGCACTTTATAACATTGCTGCATTGAAGAGTGACCTTCAGTAGTGTGGTAAAAAGAACCCCGACAAAATGTTGGGAAACTTGTTTTCTGGTTCTGGCTGGAGACTTACTGGGACTTGATATAATGATCTCAAAGGCTCCTTTCAGTTCTAAAATTATATAAACAGTTAAAATTTTATAACATTTATACATTTAATATGATATGTATTTGGGGAACACTTCTTGTAGGTGGTAGGATTTGAACTAGACACTGAAGCAGGGTGTGATCTGGGGAAGCACAGAGTCCTGCCAAGGAGATCAGAGTCTGAGGGAAGATGGAGAAGTATTTGATGTGATTATGCTAACTTCAAAAAACAAGTTGGACACTGATTCCTCTTCTTTTATTTTCTGGAAGAGCTTATGTATGATTTATGAGTTTTAAATGATAATATTTAATATAATTTATCAGTGACAAACCATCAAAGCCTATAGATTATTTTGTGGAAAAGTTAAAAAATATGGAGTTACTTTCCTTAATAGTTAGAAAATGATTCATATTTTCTATTTCTTTTTGTGTCAATTTTGATAAATTTTATTTTTCTAGAATTTGATATTTTCATCTGAATTTTAAATTTTATTGGGATAAAACAGTTTACTCAGTCGTCTTATGACTTTTTTATTTTTATTTTTAAATTACATATTTCTTTGTTTATTTTATTTATTTATTTATATTTAAGGCAGGATCTCACTCTGGCACCCAGGCTAAAGTACAGTGGCACAACAGTAGTTCAATCTAGCATTGAACTCCTGGGCTCCAGTGAGTTCTACCACAGCTTCCCAGGTATCTAGGGCTATAGGTATACACCACCATGCCTAGCTAATTTTTTGTTTTTGTAGAGATGGGGTCACACTCTGTTTCCTAGGCTCATCTTTACCTCTTGGCTTCAAGCAATTCTCTGGCCTCTGCCTTGCAAAGTGCTGAGATTACAGATATGAGCTACCACTCCCAGCATTTTATGACTTTCCAATATCTGTTGGATGCATAGTGTAGTTTTGCTCCCCTTTTTCTTGGTGTTGGTGATTTTGGGGCCTTTCCTTTTTTTTTTTCTTGACTAGTCTCATCAGAAATTTATCTTATTAAATTTGTCAAAAAACCTAACTTTTAACTTTGTTAGTTTTAATTGTATGTTTGCTTTTTGTTTTGTTAATTTGTACTTGTATTCTGATATGTTTTCACTTTGTGTCCCTACCCAAATCTCATCTGGAATTGTAACCCCCAAGTTTTGAGGGAGGGACCTGGTGGGAGGTGACTGGATCATGTTGGTGGTTTCCCACATGCTGTGCCTGTGATAGTGAGTGAGTTCTCACAAGATCTGATGGTTTTAAAAGGGGCTCTTCCCCCATGCTAGCTCTCTTTCCTGCTGCTTTGCAAAGAAGGTACTTGCCTCTCCTAGGCTTTCTGCTATGATTAAGTTTCCTGAGGCCTCCCCAGCCATGCGGAACTGTGAGTCAGTTAAACTGCTTTCCTTTATAAATTACCCAGTCTTGGGTAGTATCTTTATAGCAGTGTGAAAATGTGCTAATACAATCTCAAATGTTTTCTTCCTTCTGTTTTAAAATAGTTATTTTTTTCTAACTTTCGATTTGG